AGACTGCACGCACGTTTCTCAGTGCACGTCGTGCATTTTGGAACTTTTCCAAACAAGGCGTCTGCCCAGACACAGATCGAAGAAGAAACTTGCATATTCCTGAAGTCTGATTATATATTCAGGTTGTGCTCTCGATTCTGATCAAGAATATCTAAATCATTTTTCTTTTTTCGAACTTTTTTTCTTTGCTCGTTGCTTGATTAATCGTGGACTCTTAGCAGGTACGTCTACCTATAACGAAAGAGAGTAGACAATATCGGAGATTCCAGAAGCACTGTTAGTGTGATATACCACTCATCTTCCCTACAACCGCTGAGCAGACTAAATAAGTGAGAAATTCGAATTTTCGAGCCAGAACACAATACAAATCACATAATACAATTGATATCCCTTGTATGGGTTCACCCATTATCTTAGTTATCTCAATAGGTTGAAGGGTGAGATAAGAAAAAGTAAAACAAATAATTTATTTCATTATAATTCCTTCAAAACTGAAAGAAATGGTTCATCTGGAACTGTTCTCATCTCTAATACTATCTCTCCAGACAGACTAGATGGTTATGACTACAACGTGAGCATTATGGAAATTCAGTGTCTTCCATGCTACAACAATAAGCTCGATAAAGAGAAAACATGAAAATAACAGGTACCTCGTTTCATCATGGCTTCTATCTTTTTCCTGTAATCCGTGTTGGTCATCAACACGTAGTAAGGACTAAATATGGGATAAGTTGACACGCTGATGACTGAGTAATGAGACACTACTGGAAAAGAAGATTTCACATGTGCTACTGCCGCTTTAAATGTGAATACGTACAAATATTTCCTACGCTGAAGCAAGTACAGAATATGACACAGGTGATTGGAAGACCAACTCCGAATATTTCCAGGATCATCTGAATATCAAGTTCTGTTTCTCGTCTTCACATATTCATTACATAATGAATGATACCAATGGTTATTCTGCGCTGATTGGCCAAGAACTGAGCAGACTGTGTCAGATTTGTTTGATCTCGGATGCTCTTGACCAGAATCGTTCCACATGTACCCGCAACTACTATATAAGAGATAGTACAAAATAAGATGTTAGCTTCTGCTAGCACAGTAACAAAATTTTGTGTCATGATCAAGTTGATTCCCTTCATGGTGTTCATCTCTTCGGGGTAATATCCCATTTTCTAAACTAGGTCCTGTTCAAGGAGGGTGGATGGAGTCAAACCTTTATACAGAGTTGCCGTCCTTCTTCACCACCATCTTGTAAGCCAAGGCCAGCGATAGGTGTGAAAGCTACTTGTGTGAAAAGTAAGAGGAAGAAAATTTTCAAGAAATAATTTTTCCATTTCTCCGAAAGCTTCGTCGTAACTGCAAGTGTACGATGAATAGGCAGAAGAAGAGAAAACCAGGCGCTTGCTTAAAACAAGAAAACATTATTGAAAATGATCTCTAGATACTGTGTGTTACCAGCTAGTAATGCTACTCCCAACACGCCTTGATTCAAAGTACTCATGATTCCCAAGCGTGTGAGCAATCCTACGTTGTAAGCACTGGCACAAGGAAATATGATGTGTATCTGTACACCAACAGTAATATACAGCTGAGTGATCCCAGTCCTAAATTGACGTCTAATGAAGAGTTATAAAATATATATCACTTACGTCAAGTCATGCCCATGTATGACAAACCGAGAGAATGGGGTCAGCTTAGTAGGGACCGTTACAAGCAAGTACATTGAAAAGAATATGATAAAGAATCCGAAAGAGGATAAGCAATACATAATCAAAACGAAAGCATCCATCAATGGAACCAACAGTTGCGTGTGATAACTAACCTGATGAGCGAAATATGAGATATTCGGAGCTATGGAGATAGCACGAATATCAATAAACTTGCTTGCAACATTAGAAAAACAGTCATGCCTCACTGACTTTGATTGTAAGCTACACTGCACACATAGTTTGCATGATGGGATAGAACTGTGTCGTCTACTGCTTCGCCGAAAGACCGACTCAAAAGCAGAAGCTCAGCCATCTGTAACCATATCGTGTATCGGAACATATTATTAACAACTTACATGTAGTAGAGCTCGATTGACCAAGCGACATCTGGAATGTATCACCGAACTGTTTTGGTAGGTAGAATTTCTTCTGCAGAAAGAAAAACCAACTGTACAGGGATTGTAGTAAATCGAATTTGATGATGAAAACGACATCGAGATTAGATTTCACTCCCTTCGTTTTGCTACTACGACATTGTTCAATCACAGGTAATGTTCTCGAAAAGGATCTGGAGGTGATATAACAAGAACAAATGGTTGAAACAGTTTATTCAAGAGCACGTGAAATGAATATCCCTTTCGTGCACAATGAAAAAAATTCTTTACATAACGTTTTGAATCATCGATCATTGACTTCTTATTGGAACCATGAAACATCTCCAGGCATGAACACCGGGTAGTTTTTTTTAACAAGCAAAAAATGAATTCTTCAACCACGCGTTACTGGTTGCACATACATCATGATTTGCGCAAACAGCTTCGGTTTCTATGTAAGCTGGTCAACTTTATTAATATACTCGGTATGCATCTTCCTCTAAATCAACTTTCAGGGAATGGTGAAAATCCTCCGTCTGGTGACAACAATGAACAGTAGCAAACACAAATTAGGAACGAGATGATGAAGTATTAAGAGAAGAGTAGATTCTAGGCTTGGATTTTTTGATTACTAAAAATGATTACTTCAGGGCCAAACATGAAAACAAAACAAAAGCGAAAATATGTGCTACTATCCAACTCTGGGAACAGAGTTTTTAAATTAGCAGATCATGTACATTGCTCAACTTCAAAAACCTCTGTCACGCGAGTAAACGGTGAATGATTTTTGAGCATCTCTGCCAGGTGTTCACAAATATATTAAATAGTAAGAAAGCTTATAAGAAAATGAAAGCAAATAAACACATTTTTCAGCACACGCCTGAAATTAAGAAGGCGTGTGTTAAAAAATATATTCTGTAATTGCACGAGTATTTTGAATTGCACGTCGTGCTTTTTGGCACGTTCCCAGTTGATGATGCTGCCCAGACAGGATTTTGACAAAAAAATTAGCATATTTACAAAGTGCTTTACATGGTTAGAATATGGTCATGCTAACAATTAGAAATATCTAAAAATTTCATGCTAAAGTCAAAAAAAAGTGTTTGTTTGTATTTGTGCAAGCCTGAGCATCATCCAAAGATCATGCGTACAGCTGCTGATTGAAACGCTTAGGTGCTCTTAATATGCAGTTTAAACCTATAATTCGCGAAGATAAGAACATTCGAATTCAAGAATATGTTCAACAGAAAGCACATGTAAACCTCAAATGGCAATAAGAAGAGAAGGTAGGTTTACAAACTAATAATGATAAGTAGAACCTGATTTCCTTTCTTCGTGCTTTCCGGTACGAAGTATAGATGAATACCACACTGCGAGATATCTCGAAAATGGGTTTCAAACTTTCTTCATCGGTCTATAATCTGATCAAGTTACAACAATCATCTGCAGATTCCCACCCTTTCAATGAAATGTCTTTAGTTTGAAATGGCAACACCTGCCCTGAGCGCCAGCTGGATATAAACAGCTATTTTGGAACTTATTGTGCGTTAGCTACTGAGTTATTTATGAACTGATTTTAAAAGAATTCGCTGTAAAGTTGAGAATAAGAAGTCTCTCGTCACTTCTTTACATCACCACATAGGATACGAAGTAACTGTTGTAGTATACTTAATGCTATGTAACTGATATGCATAAGTACTTCTCTGTTGAGCTGATCAAAATATTCAAAGTTTCACAAAACGTGAAACAATTTCCGTTGAGAACGTCTGTGAATTTCTCGAGTTTTCTGAAAATGGTTGAAATTATATGTTAGATCGCTCCTCCCCCAGATGATACCTCTGAGCTGGACGGCCTTGGCAATATCTTTTCTCTGAATAGAACTCACCTCGTATGAAGCTAGAAGAATGCTGGTTCCGTGTTACCCTCAATTGTTTATCGATTCTCGGCATCATCGTAATGACTATTTCTTTTTATTTGATGCTGTTCGTCCCAGCAAAACTTAACTTCATTTCTAAACTAGCTATACATGGACATGAGATCTCGTATGTTCTATAGATTAATACTAGTCAAACTTGATACACGTTCAGATCGGGAATCAGTCAAATCTTCTTCACTATAATTGCAGTGCCCACAATCACTCTACCATGTATTGGAATATACGTAGAAGGAGCCTTTTCTCATTTTTCAATAATGAGTCCGCTGAGTATAGCTTGGGCTGTCTTAATATTACTAATTAGTAAGCATTTGCATATACATCTAGCCCGAACAAGGCATATTCAGTTGAAGGATGGTTTGTAGGATTTATTTCTGTGATCAGAGTCTTCGCTGTCTCCATGAATGTCAACGAAACTACAAAGAAACGAATATTGTTTTATCATTTCACTCACCTGCTTATTCAAGTTTCCATTTTCGTATATGGTGGCGTGAGTCTCAGTAATGCTGGAGAAGTAGGACTGAACGAGTGCGAAAAGCTAGACAAAAACATAGTAGAGCTCTACCGTTCGTATTCAGAGTCCTCGATTTATTTCATCCCAGCAGCAAATACTACCCTTTATTTCCTTATATGTGATGGGTTGTTCTTAGCAATAGTGTATACAGTAGTTTCATCAATTTGTGGAAGTATTTTACTCAAGCATTTGAGAAGTCAAGCAACCGCAACACAGTCTTTCAAACATTCGACTCGACAAAGAAATTTCACTACAGCAGTATTGTGCTTGGTGAGAAATATTCTTTCAATTGATTAAATTCTTCCAACAACAGTTAGTTATCGAAGTATTCGGCTTAGGTGCTCCTTGTGCTTACATGGGTATCTGCTGTATGTTCAAACTCGGATCCCCAAGTAAGTTCTCAAGTATTAGAGAAGATCCTTTTGAAAAATTATCGACTAGCCAATATTAAAAATTTCAGTTCACTCCCGAATTTGTATAATGATCATTGCCATCTACCCACTACTGGGTTGCTCCTGCATTTGGCTGGCGAATCCAGTCTATAGAAACAGAATAGGAAAGATAGCTAGAAAAGGTTTGTTGGCAATCCATTCGGTATAATTTTCTAATTGGAGTTTCATTCAATTTCTGGTCTAAAACTAGCACTCAGAAAGTATCAGCTGCAGCCTTATCTCGCCAGCAAACCTCCAGAATTTGAAGAACATCAGCGACATTATGCATTTAACTTACTTACTTTAATAAACTTCGACTTAGCTAGATCTCAACATCGGGGCTCTTGCGCAAAGTGGGTAATATTTTGAGCTGGGCGGAGATATGTCATTTCGCATTGTAGCACAGAGATTTTCGTCAGTCTCACTCACTCACTTACTCACTCATCTAGTAGGAAAGACGGATATAGGAAATCAAAGAAGGTAAATGTGGAAGATGCCACACATGTATTCGAATCAGTTGCTCAAATTACAAAGCAAAAAAACTTTATTTTTATTCGAAAGTGAAGCCTATGAAACTGTTTGAACCTAAGAGGTTGGAGCCTATGCCATTCCTTTGCTTTCAATTTCTGAAAGCATTGAGATTGCGAGCTAGTGATTCGGGAATCTTCACACTCACTCATGGTCACGCTGAATGAAACAAGAACTGCGGCCGGAAAGGGTTTCTAGTCATAAATGAGTGAAACTTCATCTTCCATTTGGTTCAGCGCTTTACGTTCAACTGCTGCGGTCCACATTAAAACTCCGAAAAAGATTGTAGCCGTTCTCCTGCCAATTGTTTTTGAAAAACACTTGGGACGATGACGATCTCAAAAAAATCAAACTATGTGGAAGATGACAACCACATCTTTGCTCCCACTGATTTGACGGATCGTATTTTCCCATAAGCTAGAATATTCAGGTTCAGTTATATGGTAACATATTTTGGATCCAACCTTTTTTGATTATTAAAGAAAACCTTCTTCTGTAGTCCGCGTTAGACATAAGGACATAGTATGGCCCAAATATGGGGTAGATACATATACAGAAGCAAGCTAATTCACCAACAACTGAAAGTGATAATTGATTGGACAAGTTAACCTCCCACTCTGAATCAGTAAAAAACTATTACGTACTACTATTTCCAAGATTGAAAAACAAACAAGCAGCCAAACTGACGAAAGGAATACCCAATGCGAATACCTCCAAAAATACCTGAACAACAAACATTTGCCACTACATTTGAAACGGGAGCTCTCTCACAAAACAAAGAATTCCGACTGTCATTTTACGTTGATTGGTTAGAAATACACTTGACTGAGAAGTCTTTTTCAGATTCCTTATACTCCTGATCAGAATAACCCCACAGATACTTGAAATGACCAAATAGAGGACAGTGAACAGCCCAACATAGATCAACAGTATAGCAACAAAAATGTCTTCCGAAGAAATGAAGTTGAGCCCGTGTAAGGTATACATCTCTATCGGATATGCAGATTTGATTTTCTGAAATACTTTTTCCGTAGTGAAGTTGTGGACTGTAATACCTTTATGCATGCCAACTTTGCTCTCTCTCCACCATCTTTTAGGTTGATGCCCACAATGATTATACCAACGACTTGAAACAAAGCTTGAAAGAAGAAGATACTCAAGATAATGTTCTTCCATTTTTTTATCGCTTGAGAAACAGCAAACGTCCGGTTAATAGGGAGAAGTAGAGAGAAGGATGAACTCACTGAAAGCAATTTTTATTTTTATAATATTTTTACCTATTTTTAATCACCGGATAGCAAAAAGAATTGAGACCAGGTTTGGTTACTCGTGCTCATTATACCCAATTGAGTGAAGAAACCATTTGTGTAACCAGAGGCACAAGGAAGAAGGAGAACTGGCACTGTCCCAAGTGTCATATATAGTTGAGTCAACGCAGATCTGGAAGATCTCTGTTAATCTCTTTTTCAAAAATAGCGCTTACGACAAATCATGGCCATGTATGACAAACCGTGTGAAAGGAGTCATCTTAGTAGAGACAGTGAGAAGAAGATAAAGTGATACAAATATGATGATGAATCCAAAAGAGGACAAGCTGTACATAATCAGAACATAAGGATCCAT